AGGATCCCCAGAAATGCAGCCCACAGGAGGCCAATGACAGTGACCAGAAAGGGCGACAAGGATACCACCTAGACAACACAAGGACAGGAAAATGAGGCAACAGAGGCATCTGTTTGCAGATTTCCAGAGAGGAGAATGATCAGTAGAAAAAAGGTCCAGAGGGGAAGGCCCAGGACCACGTGGAAGATACAGACCAGCAGCAATGGGCCTGGAGTCGAGCTCAATGGAGCCAGCAGACCATCACATTTGACAAGAAACTCAGTCCAGAAGGGCTCCAGGATCTGGCAGGGCCTCACAGCCCCTCTTGGCCTAAATGTTCATTCCACAATTCCAAGTTCAAGAAAAGTCTCTTTAATGTTTCTGCATCACTCCACCCACTGTCCTGCAGTCCCAACTTGTCTCAGGCAGCCTGTAAATTCTGCACCCCGCTCTCCTCTCACTCAACACCACGGGGCAATAATGGAAGCCGCCTTTGTCGGCTCAGCTGTGGGAAGTGGTCAGGTGGCATCTCCATGTCAGCCAGGGCTTGGTGGCTAGAGCTCACACAGCATGACACCCCCAGGTGCAACCACCCTGTCTCCCCTGGCTGCCCCTCTGCAGGTCGGCTCCAGCATCACCAAGGAGGGCCACGAGGCCCATAGCAATGGCCACTGATTGTGGCAATCCATTTCCAAGGTAGCCACATGCCAGCGTACAAGAAAAAAAGCAAAGTGCCTAGGGAGGAGCGTCTGAGAGGCGGGCAGAGGCCAAATCCTGAAGGAGCCAGCGCATTGGCCAGAAACCTGGCCAGCCGAAAGGGCCCATGAACACAGTCCACACCTGCTCAGCGAGCACCTGCCAGGCACAGGTGCCTGTTCTAGAGCAACCACAGTGACCACATCTCCTTCCAGTACAGCTGTGAGGCAGCGGAGGGTTGTGGGTCTGAGAAGGAGCTGGGCAGGCCGGGGCAGCAGACATCACACACTGGCAAGGCAGACACCAGAGAGGCGACGGGAGTGCCCTGCACCAAACAGAGGCAGAGGGCTGGCCAAGAGCTCAGCACCCTCAGATGAGCAGGTCAAGGCAGGATCTTAACAAAACAGGTTAGGGTCAGCCCAGACCCCGGCACACAAATCCATTTGTGTTGTTGTGGCTCCTGTTTCCAGGAACACAGTTTGAGGAATCGAGTCTGGGACCAGCAGGAGCTAGCTGAATGGCTCAATGGCAGACTCTGTCTGCCCAGCAAAATTACCTTTCAACAAACATGCCCTTGGATTTCCTCTGTGAGAATCCCTGAAAAAGCCATGAAAGCAAAGGAGCTTCCAGAAGAAATGAACACCAGCTCCTTCCACGGGATATCGCACAGTTTCATTTAATTGTAAGAACTCGCAGTGACTCCAGATATTAGAACCTTAAAAGCTAAGAGACTGAAATAACTAGTACTAAATCTGATCCCCCACCCAAGAGCAGATAGATACAGCTGCACTGGTCAAAACGAGCCAGCCTACAGACCAGCCCCACCATGCCAGGGCCAGGCAGCTCCCATGGGTGAACACGGGTCACCTGCCCCTGGCTGCAAACAGACGAGGCCCCGCAGAGCACTTTTTTCTCCTCCTAAACATCCTCAGGCAATGTTTAAAAACATGAAGGACCTCCCATCCTTTCTGGACAGTATGAGAGTGCTGATTTTCTTTCATTCTGAATCACTGTCTTTTCCAAATTTTTCTGGCCATAAAGCTATATTGTCTCATAAGCAACAACAACAAAAAAAATTAATGGAAATAAAACAATTCACTTTTCATTATAACTCCAATCAAAAAGCCCAACCAGAAATACTTTATTGGCACAAAGATACTTGGGGAAGGGAAGGCTGAACGGCTATTGCAAAACCCACAGGCAGTGATGGCAGTTGGAAGGAAGAGGGTTTGGGCATTAAAAGTCACACAGACACAGCTCCAATCCCAGCTCCAACCTCAGGCAGGTTTCACAGCCTCTCGGATCCAGAGTTTCTTCATCTAGATAGGAAGGCAGGGACGGCTGGACTGTCTGGTCAATAAGAGGCCTGATGCCTCAAGGTGTACAAAACCATGGAAGAAAAGAATAACCTTCTTCCAAAAGTGACAGGTTTACTCAAAGACGATAGTTGATGTAAAGTAAGGGGATAAACTGAAATACTGTCATGACAAAAGAAATGCAACTTTAAAAAAAAGGCTTAAAAGAAATGTGCTTACAGCTGACCACATCTGTCCCTGCTCCCAGGCATCTGGTAAGAACAGGGCTAACAGCTGGAGCACACCCAGGAGGCCCTCTACAAAGCACCTAGAATACAGCCTGTGTACTGTAAACCCAGAACGCAGTGGCTCTTGGTACACCCCTCCTTAGCAGGACTAGGCATGGTAGAAGTAAGGAAAGTCACCCTCCTCTCTCGCAGCCTTCACACTGCCTTGGAGCAGGGGTTCCAACTAATAAGAGCCCACCTTATTTTGGGGGGGGTCAGCATGTGCTAAGCCATCAATCAAGAAAAACCTAAGAGATCAACAAATACATGACAAATTTACAGAGCTCCAGAGAGGTGGAAGGAAAAGACTGGAAAAAAACTACCTGGGGCCCAGAGCAGTAGCCTAGTAGCTTAAGTCCTCACCTTGCAGGTACCAGGATCCCATATGGGTGCCAGTCCATGTAGCCCCCTGCTTCCCATCCAGCTCCATGCCTGTGGCCTGGGAAAGTAGTTGAGGATGGCCCAAAGCCTTGGGACCCTGTGCCTACATGGGAGACCCAAGAAGAAACTCCTGGCTCCTGGCTTCAGATCAGCTCAGCTCCAGCCGTTGCGGTCACTTGGGGAGTAAATCAACAGACAGAAGATATTGCTCTGTCTCTCCTCCTCTCTGTATATCTGCCTTTCCAATACAAATAGATAAATCTTAAATTAAAAAAAAAAAAAGAAAAGAAAAGAAAAGAAAAAAGAAAAACCTGCCTGAGACTTGGGCATTGTGTTTCAGAGTGAAATTCAGAGAGTACACCACTGGCTTCATCATCAGAGGCAGGAATCTTGCAAGTCCACTCAAACCTGCACAGGAACAGGGAATTAACTGCACCCAGCTATCCCTCCTTGGCAGCTTGCACCTGTCACCCAACACAGGAGATCACCTGATTGTCACTCAAATCTCTCTTCCTCAACCCCCGCTGTGCAAACCACCCACTTAATTAACCTGTTCTTGAATTATTTATTATCATCCCCTGAGTGAGAGGCATTCATGCTTGCTGGTTTACCTACCATTCCTAGGGCTTGGCTCAGAGAACTCCAACCCCTACAGACCCGGATGGAGCAAAGCCTCCTGTACCTGCCGCCCCATTTTTGACCCAAGGAGCCATGAGCCTTTCAAAGCAGCCCAAGTTCCTCTGAGCCTGGGCCAGCACAGGCCTACTGCACTGGCTGGGCATGACCTCGGCCATACTCGCCTTTCCATTCTCAATTCAGTAGCTTCCTTTTCCCTTAACATCTGCTAACACTGCCAAAGCCCATCGGTTAGACCCAGCATTTGGGGACAGAGGAGGAGAGGGTACAAGATCTCATCAGCAGCAGCCAGCCAGTAGGGGTGGGTTTTGTTAACCACCCCTCCCCCAACACACACACGCCTTGCTTTGTATCTGAATTCTTCCCACTCACCTTTCATAGGTCTGCACTTAGACGTGGAAGGAAGCTCCAAATCACAAGCGCAGTCTCCCCCTGTTCCTGAGGTCCCAGGGTCAGGGCCCCACTCCTCCCTGACATGAGCTACAACTGGATGCTGGGTTCTAGCATATTCATTCATTCATTCATTCATTCATTCTCTCCTCTCTCCCACTTCAACTCATGCAAAAAGCACAGGCACACTGCCCACCCTGCAATCTTCTTGGAGGGCCAGCTCCCTAGAGGTGCAAGGGTGCTGTCAGAGGCTGACCAGAACTGCCCTCCAGAAGCATCTCAGTCCTTCTCTGATCCTGGATTTGTAGGGTCTCCAGGAACGCTGCAAATAATGGGAAGCCAACAGGTGATGCTCCTGCTAAAGCCCCTGACCTTGGCCATTCTTCCTGACAAACTTGGAAGAACCAGGAGAAGGCTGTCCCGAGAGTGCACTGGCCTTGCTGGACACTGCTGACTCCGGACCAGCAGTACCAAGGTCTTAGTGCTGCTGCTGCAACGGCCCCTCCTCCTCTTCTTCCTCCTTCTCTTCCTCTTTGCAGCTTTCCGTCCTCTCATCCTAGCCACATCTAAAGAACCAGACCCCCTCCACTGCCCACAACTTGGCCAGTGTGGCCCCATGGAGGGTGGCAGGCAGTTTGTGCAGCTTGGGGGCTGCTGGGAACCTGCAAGGACTCCCCGATTGCTCCCTGCATGGACTCCTCGGGAGCTGTGTGGCTGCGACCCCAACGGGGCAGAAGGTCTAGGGGACTTACACACTCTTCGGATTCCTGTCCCTCCATGCAACCCAGGCTCCTACTTCCCCCTCTTCTCCCCTCCCTGCACCCGCCTCTCCCTCCTTCCTCTCTGAAGGCGCTCCCGCCGCGTTTCCGCTGTGCCTCCAATGATGTCTAAACGCAGCCCACCACAAACGCTGACATTTTCCACGTTGAGTTGTTATAGTTACTTGACTAATTGCCGGGCCGACCGCGGCGCTTCTTGGCCTCCCGCCTGCAGGAGATAAGTGGGCGGGGGACTCAGGAAGGGAGATGTCCGGGCAGGCCCGGGACGCTGAGCAGGCCCTGGAAATGGTGTCCTGCGCTAGGTACCAGCCGCTACTCCACCTCTACCCGGGAGGTGAGGGCGCACCCCGCGGCCGTGGAACTGGAGATGCGGCCAACAGTCTCCCCTGGCCCGGAATCAGGGAGCAGCGAGGGGTCTGTGCCAAGCAGGTGTGCGTGGCCAGCAGCCCAGAGCGCCCACGAGCGCGAGGAGGGGAGTGAAATACCTCGGAAAGGGAGCGGAGAGGGACGCACAGGGAGCTAAAAGAAAGAGTTGGACATCGCGGTGGGTTACTCACGTGCCAGATGGCGAAGAAGATGAGCGCCGCGCACAGCACCAGCGACAGCATGTAGCAAAAAGCAGCGAAAGTGAAGGCCATAGCTGGCAGACCCCGATCCCACAGCACACCAAGAAGCGCCCGGGACGCCCACCGCTCCTCCAGGGCCGCGCTCCCTCACACCGGGGGCAGCAAGCAGCCGGGTCTGCGCGCGCCCCTCCAGGCCAGCAACTCAGAGACCCCGCGGGCCGGGGAGACGCGCTCGGGGCAGTAGCGAATAGGAGCGCGGACCCGGCCCGCCCGCCAAGACAGGAAAAGGTGCAACGACGGTCGCTGGCATGAACTGTCCCCAGACCAAAGAAGAAACCAAGTCAACAGGGCACACCTTCAGACGGGTGGCCCGAAGAGAGCCCGCTGGAGAGTAGCGCGGCGAAGGATGCGAGGACCAGGGAAGAAGGTCCCGGCCCTCCGGAGTCCCCAGGACAGAGCCCCGCGCTGTCCGCGCGCGTCCAAGCTGAAAGCAAGAGGCGAGCGCGCCCCCGCCCCGGCCACCAACGGAGGGCGACCGGCGAGGTGTCCGCCGGGCTCCGAGAGCCTCCCGAGTCCCAGGAGCAGCGGCGGCTTCTTCACGGGAGGACCGCTCTTCAGGTAGCAGAGAGTGACAGTGCCGTAGGTCCTGCGCGCCCGACGCGGCTTGCCACGCAGCTGTGCGCTCAGAGGAGCGACGGGTCCCGGTTCCAACCGCCACCGCGAGCCCGCGGGCCTGGGTAACCCAAGTGCCAGGGAACTGGGGGATAGGATCGGGGCTGACTCGGACTCCGGCCCGGCGGTCGCCTGCCGCCCGGGTGGCTAGAGCGGCGGGTCTCAGGCCAAGCGGACCTCGCTCCACCTGCTGCTGCTGCTGCTGCCGCTACCGCCGCGAGACTGTAGCGACGCGCCCGGGATCCCCTCCCGGCGCCCCACCCTCAGCTCCCCCTCCGCTAAGCAGCTAAGCACGCCCTCCCCGGCGGGCGGAGACTGCGGGGCCAGCCTGGCCCGAGGCGGGTGGCGAAGCGCCGCGGGGCGCACGGTCCCCTCAGCCGTGGCGCCCGTCGCGCTCTGGGAGGAAACTTGCGGGCGGCGGCCGAGCGCAGGTGCGGCGTGCCGGGGCGGAGCCGGGACTCTTTACCCACGTGCGTCCGGAGGAGGCGGGAAGCTGCGGAAGGGTACGACGCGTGGTTCACGCCCTAGCGCGCCTGCCGCTGGCGCAGCGAGTTTCAGCCCTGGCACCCAGCGAAGCGGGTGATGGGGGCGCCTGGCAGGTGCTGGGGTCTCTTGAGGAGAATTCCCGTGATGGAGGGTGGCGTTTACCCCGACTGGAGGATGCTGCATTTACAGCTCTGCCCTTGACCCTGATTTGCCCTCTGTCCTCAGGGTTGGTGGACTTTTGTGGGATTCGTATTGCTGGTTGTTGGTCTAGCTCAGTTTCCTGCTGCTAACCTAAGCCTGAGAAATAAGCATGAAAGTCAATCATTTAAAAGGACTAGATGGGAACATAGAAAGCCTAGGAGGGAGCTGGCACTTGGTACACATGGGTTAAGAGGCAGGGGGAAACATACTGTGGTCTCAGCTGAAGAGTACTTTGAAAGCTTGCATACTTGTCAGGCCACTTCTCTTAGAGCAGAGGGACAGGTTCCAGTCATTGCAGGTGGAACTTTGAATCATGTGGCACAGTGAATGAAGCCTGTCGTGCCAGCATTCCACGTTGTTCACTAGTTCAAGTCCTGGGTACTCCATTTCCCATCCAGCTCTCTGCTAATGTGCTCCCGCTAATGTGCCAGCCGCAGAGGATGGTCCAAGTGCTTGGGCACCTGTACCCACATTGGAGACAAGGACGAACCTGCTGGCTTCTAACATACCCAGCTCCAGATATCAAAGCCATTTGGGGGGTGAACTAACAGATAGAAGATATTCTCATTCTCTCTCTCCCTCACTTTACCTTTCAAATGAATAAATCTTTGGGAAAAATACAACCTTGAATTTCACATCAATCTGTCCAGGAAGCAAAGAGGATGACTGGCAAATCTAGGTAGCCAACTAGAACCACATCATGGTTTGGAGGGGATCTCAGGGTACTTGAGACCTTGCACAGGGAAGTGTGCGTGCTGTGACTCTAGTGTGCCAACCATAGAGATGCTTCCCATGGCTTCAGAGCCAGAAAGTGGATCACGGAGCTGGCCATACCACCTGCTATTGACAGAGCTAAAATCATACTCCCCTCCAAACCCAGGCTGGCTGTGCTCCACACACACACACACACACACACACACACACACACACACACACACACACCCCTCCCTACCTGGCCCTCAGGCTACACCTCCACTTTAGAAAGTAAACATGCTGCAAGGGAAAGTGGGGGGCAGCTGGACCAAGTCCGGGGAGCTGGCCACAGGCATCACAAGTCAGCATTTCACAGGCTTTCGACTGACCAAGAGACCAGCACAAATCAGAAATGTGAGGCTCCTCATGGGAAAACTAAGAATTTCAAGAGAGAAACAGCAGGGCCTTCAGCCGAGTTGGAAGCCCTGCCGAACAGCAGACCTGACCTCTGCAGGAACCGCACACCTGTGAGTGCAGCCCGCTCGGGATCACGCCCCTTGCTTTCTCTTTTCCTTGAGTCTTTTCCCAGAGTAAACAACCACTAAAGAAAATTAGGTAGAGCAGGTGTTTGGCACAGCAATGAAGCCACCAGTTACGATGCCCATGTTCTGTATCCTATAGCCTGAGTTCAATCCCAGCTCCAATCCTGATTCCAGCTTCCTGCCCATATGGACCCCATGAGGCAGCAGGGGGTGTCTCATATGGTTATACTGACTCTGTAGACCTGGATTGATATTCCTGGCGCTGGCTGGACCCAGGCCTGGCTATTGCAGACATCTGGGTAACGAACCAGCATACATAAATACATAAATGCCTCTGTGGGACAAGGTTGTGGCACAGTAGGTTAAGCTGCTGTCAGGATGCCCACATCTCATATCAGATCCTGGCTCAAGTCCCACTCCTCTGCCTCCTACCTAGCTCCCTAACGACCCCAGAAAGCAGCAGATGTTGATTCTGTGCTGTTGTGGCCCTCTGGGGAGTGAGCCAACGGATGGAAAATCCCTGTCTCTCAATCTCTCTTGGTCTCTGTGTTCTCCCTGGCTCTCTCCTTGCACTATGCCTGTTGAGTTCATCAATCCATCGATTAATAAAGTGACTAAATCTTTAGGGGGGAAAAAACTATTTACAAAAAAAAAAAAAGAAAATTTGGGAAACACAGAAATGAAATCATCGTTTACTAAATACTACCAACACATGTAGTGAGATAATTCTGTCTAGCTCTGCTTTTTGCTTTGTATTTTTACACAGATGATTTCTTGATTGTTGTAATTATACTACATAAACTTTTGTGACACAAGAACAATACAAGAATAAAAACATTGATAGTTTGAATATTTTGAGTCTTTAAGCTGATTTGGTCTTTTGTCCCTGCTGTTGCTTCCTTATGGTGTCCTAGCTCCGTGTGTGGCAGTAATTTTCATTGTATGCAAACAATTGTTTTAAACAGTCCTTTGCAGACATTTGAGGCCTGAGGATGAAATGTTCTGCAGGATGTTCTGCTTCTTCTGCCAAGTGTCTGAGGGAATCTCACACTCCAGAAATGCCTTCATCCAAAGGCAGGGTCGAGATGCACTGGGTGGGTCACGAGTGTGTTCTGTGAGAGGGCTGGTCTGTCTGCCACGCACCCGTTCATACAGAGCAGTTCCTCAATCCCAAGACCAATCAGCTGGCTTATGAAGTCCCAAGAAGGGTGGTCTCCCATCCCCTCCCAATGCCCTAAAAAGCATGACTAACTCCTCCAGATCAGCAAGTGCCTGGAGGGAAAGTAAAAAAGAGGGGGACCCTAAGTGCTAGGCTCACCTCTCTGAGGCCCCAAGAGCATGGAGGGTTGGTCCCAGTGGCCCCCGGCGCCTGAGTTCTTGGAGAGGCGGGATACCTCGAGAGCCTGCATCAGCTCCTGAAGCCATGGTCAGTGGGAGGATTGGCATGCACTGTCTAGCCTGGCACTGATGCTAGCAGGAAACTCTACATCAAACGAAAACTTCAGACAAAAACAAAATCAGTCCACCATCCTGCCACACCGGTAACCAGTGTTTTTCCTGCCTTTTCTCTCTGTGCTTTGCCTTGTTTTATTCCTTGTAGAATAAGGGTCTCAGTAAAGGGGATTGAAGAAGGTTAGAAAAATAAGAACCCATTCAGTTACTGCTTATTAATTCAAAGATGTTATTTAGTATTCACTCTGTGCTGCACAGGTCAGGGATCCACAAGGTTTCTGGCCCAATGAGTGGGGTAGAGGCTCCTGCACAACGCAATATTATCTAAACAGAAGTGCCTGTCACCCAGTAGAGGGAGGAAAGGATTGGCAGAGTGAGTGACCAACCTGCCTTGTTTCCTCAACCACATAAGTTACAAAGTCTGTTTCTTCTCCAACCCACCATGCATCCAGGAGTGGCCAGGTGACACAGTTTAAACCCACAAAGTGTGCAGTTTCTTGTGCCAGCCTGCAGACTCGATGCCTGGAGATACAGCAACCAACTGCTGTATGACCATAAATGGAGAAATCAACACATTGAGAATGGAAAAACAAGACAGAAGGAGCAAGACATTGACAACACTGTGGCTTCCAGCATCGTGGTACTGTTTCCAGGGTACTGTTTCCACGCTATGCTAACGTGGGCACATGAGAGAGACAGAATGCCTCGAAGGCAGTATGATCAGGGAGGGGCTGTGGACAGAGTGACCTCCATGAGTACGCCTGGTCCTGTGACCCTGGTGCCTTCTCACCTGCTGCCAGGTTTTTGCACCAAAGTTGGCCTGTCTTCAGCCAGCCGGGTCTGGGCACATGGGGAAGCTCCTCCAAGCCTGTCCCATTTCTGCCCTCTCCTCCTGCTCTTGTCACCACTCACTCTCAAAACACCTATTAGAGAAACGATCAAAGCATAAAACAGTGACTTCACATTCATGGGAAGCCTAAGGGAGGCTGGGGCCTCCTTCCTTACCCTCCCGACCTCCATTCCACT